AATGGTTGAATGATGGTTAGAAGATGGTTAGATGATGGTTGGATGATGGTTAGATTAATGGTTAGATAATGGTTAAATGATGGTTAGAAGATGGTTAGATGATGGTTGGATGATGGTTAGATTAATGGTTAGATAATGGTTAAATGATGGTTAGATAATGGTTAGATGATGGTTGGATGATGGTTGTATAATAGTTGGATGATGGACGAACTGTTGGATGATGGTTGGATGTGTCAGTTACCCAGTGCATACAGAGCACCGTGGCAGGAACACACTCCGACTCCACAGCGGGGGAAGTTGAGCGAGGCCACGGCGGCCCACTGCTTGGTGACGGGGTCGTACCTCTCGGTGCAGTCAAAGATCATGGAGTCCTTCTCTCCTGTGAAAATAGGACGTTCCTTCAGGCCGTTGTTTTCTTTGAACTCCACATGAAGCAGCAACTCTCACTACCTCCCACCACGTAGATCATCCCCTCCAGGACGGCGACTCCCAGCCCGCTGCGAGCCTGGTGCAGGGACGACACGGTGGTCCAGTACTGGTTGAAGGTGTCGAAGCGCTCCACGCAGCTCAAAGCRCTGCTGTCGCTCCACCGGCCCCCCTGCAGCCGAGTGTAGCCCCCTGACACCAGGAAACAACAACAGTCACTTCCAGGTTACGTTTCTAACGTCACAGTTAAATTCAGACTCAGAACCTATGGCGTAGAGGAACTTCCTGGCTTTTCTTCTGGGTCTCATTTTAGCCGGCTGCAGCTGACCGCTGGTTTTATTGTCTTTGGAGGATTTTGTGACCTCAGTGTACTCCTTCAGCAGGGTCTGCAGCGCCACCCGCAGGCTGAAGTCAGAAACACCTGGGTTCAGACAAAGAATTAAAAAAGTAGTTTCAGCATAAACAACAGAGATAAATCTTAAAAAAATGACAAATCATATTGAAAAATAAACACCAACATTTCTTCTCAAATGTTAAACAACACATGTATGACGGTAATGACATATAATAAATGTCTGTATAAATCACAAATGTTAAATTTGATTCCAAATAAACATCTAATATATTTATTTGTCTGTGTGTGTCGGTCCTACACCAAAACACCTTGCAGTATACTGCAAATATACCAGTCTGTGTGAAAATATACTTTTAATGTACTTCTACTAAAGTTTATTTATGGCAAAATTCAAATGTAAGTACAAGTATGCTTAGACTTTATTAGCATTAGCCAAGCATAGTCAGTGACGTGCACAGGCATTTTGGGGGCAGGTGCTCGAGTGGAAAAAGAGGGCACCTTGTGTGGTGCACGGAATCGCTGGCTGTCCTTGTAATGTGACATTTATTACAGACGCATCTTGTACATTGTGCATATTTATCTTTTTTTAAATCTGCTTTTTTTTTGTCTGACTCAGATAATAATCAACACTCTACAGGTTGGTTTCTGTAACAAACTGACAATAGAAAAACAAAAACTAGTAATGACAGTTTGTGTGTACTTTAGTGTCTATAAAATAACCATTTATAATCAAGATTATTTTCACAAAATTACTCTTTTTTTCTTTTTTTTTTTTGTTGTTGTTCTACGGAGACTCTTTCTTCCATCTCTCCATCATAGAGCTCTGTTTCCATGATCTGACATTTCAGCTTCATCTGTGTCTGACAGAGGATGGCAGGAAAACATAGAGATGCTCTTCTGCAGTAGCTAAAACACCAACAATATGAAATATATTTATTTGGGTGAAACTGCTTGGAGACAGAAGTCAGTGCAATAAATTAAAACATCAGACTCTAAATTACTGTCATGGTCAAAATGTAACACTTTAACAGAGGGGGGTCGAATTCACAAGGGGGCGAAAGTTCTAAACTTAGTTCAGGCCAAGAGCTAATTTCTGTTAATATTTATTGAAATAATAACAAATAGTTGTTATAATACTAATTTTATTTTCCAAATTTTGGTTTATGTTACATTTACGA